GGCTGGGGAATTCTGGGAGTTGAAGTCCACCCATCTTAAACTCGCCAAGTTTGAACAACACTGACCTAGGTGGTCAGTAGGGGTCGGCACTGACTTGATAACACATAATCAGTGTTATCACACCCCACCCCTTGCAGGCACCTCTGTTCCCACCCACTGCTAAAAAGCCAGGCCTATTCCCAGGCACAACTGAAGCATCTTCACGAGAGGCCTTTCGAAACTGACGGTGGTGCAGGTTGGAGGAACGGAGAGCTACGCGGACTCCCCGCTGGCCTCAGGACCAGCTCCTTCAGTACCTTTTGTGGTGCATTGATCACCCCGATGTTGTATCCGAACTGCAGGGACCCCAAGATGGCCGTGAAGACAGACAGGACTAAGACGGGGGTTATCCCGCTACCAGCGTCCTCCTCGCCGCCCTGAAAAACACAGTCCCAGGAAGCTCCTTCAGTTCACAGCAGAGTCACTCGGACCACGGAGAAAAGGTGACCGCTGGCGCACTGGGGGTGACCTGGCAAAACCCAAGCGCTTCCCTCCAATACATTTTTTCCCCTTAGAGCCTTTGCTCCGGTGCTGGGTGTCCTCAGAGCTGCGTGCACCGGTTGCTCCACCTCGTTCAGGCGATGCCTTGCCAAAGGAGGCTGAAGGGCAATGAGGGAACATGCAGCCACAGGCCCGTGATATACAGCACCTCCAGCAGCATTCCCGTGTACAGGGCAGGGCATGCTCCTGGGTGCAGAGAATGCCCTTGCTATTTTTCTCCCCGAAAACCCTCAATCCTCCCTCCCCATTTTGGGTGGTTTTGGAATTCAGCGCAGATAAAAAGTCTCCAGGGCCGAGACCAGAATTACAGTCCTGCATAAGAAGTCCAGAATTGCACCGGTTCGCCTGCTGCAATTACTTCTTTTCACTTTTTACTACACCCTGCCCACCCCCACCCCCGAGATGGACTCTTTTTTGAGCAGAAAGGAGCCGACCATCAAAACGAAGGAGGGAGGGGAGCGTTATCCATTTCCAGAACTTTGCTTTACTCCAGGAAGCAGCAAGAAGACAACTTATCTAGCCTTGCCCAACCCCAGCCAGGCTTAGAGCAGTGAGAAAGTCAATATTTGATTTTAGCACTCCATGAGCCACCACACTGCTGGCCTTCCGGCAGACACCAGCACGTCTGCACAGGGAGGAGAGAACGGAAGAAGACCCACAACCCCACAGATCCTTGCTTTGGGAGGGAAGTGAGAAGTGGCCTTGCACAGTCAGAAATGCAACACTCTTGAGAGGGAGCTATCAGACAACTCAGAGAAAGACCCCTTCCCCCATTTAAATCCTGGGGGAAAAGAGATGTTAGCGGGAACAGCTCCAGCCTGGCATCGATAGGGAACGCCCTCCCATAAAATCATGTACCAGACAGTGTGACCTAATGGTTAAACTGCACTGGGCGAGGGCTGGGGAGACCCACGGTCAAGTACACCCTCAGGCATGGAAGCGCTCTCTCAGCCCAGCCTACCTCACAAGGTTGTTGTTGGGAGAACGAAATGTATTTATTTTTTAGATTTACTGTATATAGGCTCAGGTACACGACTCTGGGCAGCTTACAGGATGCGCAGAACAAAAACAGAATACAATATAAAATTTATCAAAACCATATCGAAAAGCACAATCCACAGCTGAAGTGTAAAAACCACCACCAACATTCAACATCATCATCATAATAATAATAATAATAATAATAATAATAATAATAGTAGTAGTAGTAGTAGTAGTAGTAGTAGTGGGGGGGG